GTCCCCCTCTATACTCTTGGGATACAAATATAAGGCATAAAGGAACTACTCTGCGATAACCTTGCCTTTGCCTCCCACCCTCCCTTCCTGTGTAATGTTGCTATCTCAGATGTGACAGGGGCTCCATCCACACTGCAGAATTAAGACAGTTTAACACTGCTTTAACTGCCCTGGCTCCATTCCATGGAATCTGGGATTTACAGTCTGTTGTGGCACCCTCTGACATAGAAGGCTGAATGTCTCACAAAATTACAGATCCCAGGATTCCACAGCACTGAGCCAGGGCAGCGAAAGCAGCATGGAGCCGGATTATTTCTGAAGTATGGACACAATCCAGGTGAATAGGAAGCTACTTTATACCAGGTCAGTTTGCTTGGTCCACCCAGCCCTGTCTTATCCACTGTGACTGGCATTGGTTTGCCACAGTCCCAGACCAGAGGCGTTCTTATTACCTGCTTACCCAATCTGTTTTAGTCAGGGATGCCAAAGTTCGAACTTGAGGCTTTTCTCATCCAGGTCATGTGTTCTGTTTCCAAGCTATGGTCTCCTTCCTCCCCATCAAATGCAGCAAAATTAATTCACAAAGACAGCTCTTCTCTGAACACACCTCAGAAATTGTGCTCAAAATAGAGAGTATGCAGAAGCACAAAGGGAGATAATTCTCACATGCACATATACCAAAGCATAATTGAGCATTCCTCAGATAACAAAAGGCTTTGCCGGTGATGCTCCATTTTTACAAAGTGTTTTTTACACACACCCAGCCACTACTTTTCTTCCTCATCCTCTTTCTAGTTGGAAGGTATTTGCAAGCATTTGGCATTGGGAGGAAGGTGAAGGAGGGCTTGAGAAATACAGACTTTCAATGTGTTCCCTTACTGAGCATGAACAAACAGCAATATAGGCAGAAAGGGGGGAACAAATAAGCCTGCTTTATCAGCTAGTCCCAGCGTATTTAAAAAAGCATATATCTGTAAGCAAGGCCACCAAAATGGAAATCATAACAAGGTTGAGGCTCACAAAAAAAGAAAATCATCCCTGAATGCATTTGGAAGAAACTTTCATGTGGTCTTCAGAGGGCTCAGTGTTGTTGTTGTTGTTGTTGTTGTTGTTGT